AAAGAAGATCAAACTTCACTATCAACAGCTGTCAGAATGTGATGGAACGTTGGTATTTCTGCACCAAAGAATTCTAAACCTCTCCCAAACAGCTCCCTGTAGCAAAGAATTCAGGATGAATCCATCCTGGATGAGGTTTTCATCCAGTTTATGGAATTCAGCAAGGGCAGCATGAGCAACAGTTGGAAAGGATGGAGGAATTCTATCAGGCCTAGATATCCAGGAGATGTTTTTTTTACCTGACTTAGTAAAGATGGCTAGTCCAACACATTATCCAGGGAGGCTATCCTAAGCCAACAATACCCGACTTCATAAGGGATGCACCAGGTACTAGGATTCTTCTCAAGTACTGTGTTGAGAGATGTATTAATGGACCTAAGTTTAATTCAGAGAAGATGCTGTGCCAGTTTGGCTAGATCTCCTCTTATTAAATCCATTCTCTAAATTCTCGTAGAAAAACTATCCAGTAATCAAAGCCTCTGGCTAGTTTCAGATTTATTTGCAGAGGGAATACATGGAATTAATTTCTCCCTTGGGAGAACTGTCTCACTTCTTAATACAGAATCCTGGAACTGGCAAAGAATCAAATCCCACTGTGTTCAGCCCATCATTTTATAAATTATGGCTTAGGAAAGGAAAGAAGAAATCATTTAATACCAGGCTGTGAACTTTCTTACGTAAGAACTAGATAGCCCCTGTAATAAAAAATCAGAAACAAAAATTCTGTTCTCTCAGGGAGCAAAAGTGACTTGAACTGCACAAGGAGAGATGGAACTGGTGCTGCCCTTACTTGGGGACTGAGCAGCACCTGGAATCTGCCCTTAAATGTGCGCCTCTTGCATGTTGGGAGCTGTATCAAGTCAGCACTGGATAAGGGTATCACTGCGTTCCGGTTAAGCTAGTCCCATGCTTAAGTGTAGAGCCAATAATCTCAAATTTAAATAGTCACAGATGGCTTGCTAAAATGAAAGGCATTTAAAGACCTTCCAAATTTTGAAAGTCAACATTGCCAAACTATGTGGATAGCTACACAGACAACATGTATAAGGCTTTTATTAGCATAAATTCGGCAACCGTTAAACTACTTCATTATAAATAGCAGTCAGGAAGAAGCTGAAGTACAGGGGTAGAGTCTCTGAAGCCTGTTCATCGTGTTAGAGCAAATTCACAACTTGCTGTGCTCCTTCTCTTTGAAATGAAGTGACAATATCTACCACGAGTGCTATTTTAAACAAACAAAATGAAGTTAACTCAATAAATATCTTTTATTAAAGAAAAAAAGGAATATTGTTAAGCACCAAAACTGCATGTTGTTACATTGCATGTACAAGAAGAGAAGGTGATTGCAGTACTTGCTGTACAAGTACTTACCTCTGAAGTCATGAGTGTAAAAAACATGAAAATACAAAGCAATACAATAATTACAATGCAGAAAAGTTGCACTAAAGAGCAAAAGGCAACAGTCAAAACAATTATTGGAGATTTCAGAGTATTGCTATAAATGCCTGCTTAGTTTTTTCTTTGTACTTTTAATACTTTAGAATATTAATGGAGCATATTTAAGTATTGTAAATTTGCAAGAGTTGGCATTTACAATACACTGTGCACACTTCCGTTTAATGTACAGTGGTAAAGCCATCTTTAAAAGCCAAGCACAATGTGCTAGTGTTTTGCTTCTACCATTATAATATTGCACAAAGCTAGTAAATGGTGAATTGGTTTGCCATTGTAGTTTTCATTTAACCAGAAAGGCTAAAAAACATGTCAGTTTCAGTAGCCCTAATGGGCTTTAATCATGCAAAATTATCTGTAGCCTTCAATTTTTCACAAACTATATATTGTGGTTTCACACTTGGCAAGACATACAGTACGAGAAACTCAATGAGACAGTGGGGATTCTGTCCAAGTCAAAGAAGTCAGAAGTCACTGTCTGGGTGGTATTGTCTATCCCTCCGGGTTCATAATTGAAGAGAAAATGCCATCTTGTGATCATGAAGACTTCTTAAAACCAATATAATTAGTACTGGGAAAAGCTACAATAACTTGTTACACTCTTGGATAGTTAACCATAGAACATGCAAGTTAAAAAAAAAAAACAAAACCCAAAACTTCCCTTGTTAAAATTCACCTCTATAACCAACACCCATATCTTTGTGTATACATCTAAAAATCACTTCCCACCATCTTGCCTCTCCACCCTTAATTCCCCCAAATTGAGTCACCCTTAATTCCCCCAAGTTGAGCCACCCTTAGTTATAACTGACTTTTAAAAAAACTAACAAAAAACTTTCGCTTAACTCTCAAAACAAATGACTGCTTTGAGTTTCAATGTGAAATAGCCTCGATGAAGTATTTATTATATGTCAACCTCCAAGGTATTTTCTGTACATGCACCTTACAGTGGCATAATAAAAATGGGGAAGGGGAGAAACACTTATAAATTTGAATTCAATCAATTAAACCCCTCAAATACCAAACTGTACATTTATGCTTGTGGGCAAAACAGAACATTTTAGAATGAGCATATCTTCCAAATAACCCAATGGGCAAACACACCACATGTGCCGTGCACACGCACACACAGGACCCCGATTTCTTCTCACCCTTAAAAAAAAAACCCCTCTGTTTACATACATGATAGCTTAGGCAGCAATATAAACTCATTTTGTAGGAAAAACTTTTAAATTAGACTATTTATAGAATAAAAAACACCATTGCTTCAATTTACAAAGCAATTAGGCAGAGATCCCTCTCTATGTGCTTTAACTAAAGAGCTTTTTGCAGCAAAGTTCAGAAGTAACTACTGAATTGTTCAGCAGCACTGACTAAACGCAACATGCTTCAACAGTAAGGTGCTTCTACTCTCTTACCTCTTCCATCTGGAATACATCTTGCCGGTCAGTCCTCTAACACTAAGCATAGCTTTTCTCATATGATAAGCTAGAAATGTGAAATAAAATCTGCTTAAAATGCACATTTAACTTTATATTATCATTTAAACTCAGTGCAAGAATTAGGTAAAACTTGTTTAGGTTTCTGCTCTTATTATCAAACGGCTGCAGGTTAACAATGCATCTGTAACAGTTTTTAAATGTTTTTACAGCTGTTCAAAATGCTTTCTTACAAATAGCCTGGAAATAATGTTATGCAATCTGAACTCCCTGATAAGGCCTTTAAGGAACCCCTTACTATAGAACTTGACAGATTGGTATCTGGTATTATTATGTGCATACTAATTAAATTATAAAGGTTATTAAAAAAAAAAAACCAGAAAACAAAAACACTGACCACCCCAAAACCTTATATTTAGTGGAAGAAAAAACTTTCCTTAGGCTAAGACTAAACTGACTTAGGCATTGACTTAAATTTATACACAAATTCAACGAATGCAATTAAAAAATGGAATCTTAAGGAATGTATAAAATTAACTTTTGTTAATTGTACACTGGTCCCATTCCAAACAGAGGATGCTGCCCGTTCATTTTTGTTCCACTGATAGGAGTTTTCATTCTTAGTGCCTGCTCTGGCCTAAGTATGCCTCAGAATTTAACACATTTTATGGCAAAATGGTCATGCCATATGTTACCAAAAACTGCTGTACAGTTCAGCTTTGTAGAAACAAGGATTTTTGCCCCCTTTTTACAGAGTGAATCAAAGTGCTGAAAATTCCCTGTGGTTTCACACAATGAGGAAAATCCCATATTCCCACTGTGTTAACTACTACACCTGACCAACATCATTTATAACTAAATTTGTTAAAATGAACTAGGGAATGATTGTTCTTAGGCCGCTCATAAACTCAAAACCTATAGACATACATCAGGTAAGGAAGGTAACTGCTCATCTTTTAAAAATCTTCTTTAGCCAGGTGTTTCGTCACAAAGCTACATCATAGTACCACCCAGGTCTGAGATCAGGAATACCTTTCCTCTAAGTACCATACTGGTTATATACACAGCACTGTGACTGTAAGTGGGAGAACAATTTAAAAATGGCATTCAAGTGAGCAGTAACCTTAACCTTAAAATATCCTCAATTTATTCTATTTGTTTCTCTATTTAAAATATATTACTGTCAAGAACTAGATTGGTAAACGGACTTCTAAAGGGATTCGGCACAAACAAGCAGCTGTTTGTGGATTCTTCTGACAGAAAGGATACATTGAGATAAAACTCTCAAATATTTTAAACCATATAAATAGTATGTGGGCAAGTATTGGAACTTAAAACATGTGGTCATCTGTAAATACCATCCTAATTAAATATATTAAAATTTAATATTAAGGGCAAAGACACTCCTTTAAGGGCGGGGGGGGGGTGTTGGTGGGAATTTATGCTTACAAAACTGTTGGGTTCCAAAACTGCTTTAAAATTAACATGAGGAAAAAAATTAACTTGAGGATTCAACTGGTAATCTCATCTTGGACAACTGGACTGTAGTTATTTGAAATTCAAACATTGTGAGAACTCCCAAGGTGGATGATCTGCAGTAACTTGTAATTCTGTGGAGGCAGGAATCTGAATCTTAAGGATGGAAAATAGGTGTGGTAGAGAAAGTTTATTTAGCAGAAAATAAGCAGAGCTGGTTGTTAACGAGGCTTTGCTTTAACCTACTCATCATCTTCAAGAGAGAGAATCTTCATGAAGTGCCACAGTGGGATGTACGCTGAGTTTCAGATGCACCCCTAAAGGATTCACAAGGGTCTGAACCCCCTCCAGAGTACTGGAGACTTACTAGAACATGGTTCTGGAAGACAAATGACAGTACCCATTTATAAGTGAGCCTGTCTTCTGATGGAATCCCAGCTCTAACACTAACTGGGGAGCAAATTTCTAACAGATAAAAGTTCTAATGCTTTTGCTGTTAATTTAAAATGTTAAGTTCTCCTGTATTTTTCTAAACATCATTGAATGAGAAAACTTACTCATAAGCATCCAAAGGCTTAAAATTGATACATGATTTTTTTTAAAGTTTGTAAATTTGCTTAAACATTTTTTTTCCACCAAATTATATTAATCAAACCAATCATTCTTTTGGTTGAAAAGCACTCTTCAATGTTTTACTGAAGGAAATGAGGAAAATTCCTCATCCACCTCTCCCACTGTGGGATAAAATATAGTCTCTATATTAGGTATATATTTTAATCTTCCAAGATAAGATATAGGAATAACATAAGAAGAAAACTAGTGTATTGTGAAAAAAACTGTGCAAAAGTTCCTACTCTCGTCAATAAACAAATTTTTCTCCATAATTATTTTAAAGGAAATACATCTTAAAGTGACAAAGGTGTAAGCATTTTTTTCTCTCTTCTGAAAAACCAATTCATATACATTGGAGGGCTTTTACTCTGGGACTGCTTTCTGGGTCTAGGACAGAGAAATGCCTCAGAAGAAATAAAGTTCTTTTTGGTACATCAGTCCTTACTTAACTCCCTTCATGTAAAGGCCAAAATCTGTCTGATGCAGAATTACACTCTACAGAATACTGTAGACTGGGTCCAACATATCTACCTTCATCCAAGCCCACAACACTCCTGCTGAGAATTCATAATGGGTCCATTCATATATATGTGTCCTTCAGGACTCCTTATAGCAAAATCAGCACCTAAAACTACATACATATGTTTTAAAAGGTCTACTGACAATAACAAAGGTCCTCTCCCCAAGTTCCACTCAAAACATGTGAAGATAGTGAAATGCCAGCCAAGGAGGCTTTTCTGCCTGTCTACTTTCTGCATATCTGTAGAGTGCACTTCACTGTGGAGCATAAAAAGAAAAACTTAAATGGTGCATGTTAAACAGACGAGATCTGCATCCCTATTACTGAATCCTCATTTCTGATTCTCAATAGGAAAGTCACGTTGAATTACACTAATCAAGCAATCGTTCAAACAAAAGGACTAAAAATAATCTGAATTATCAAGTTACAAAGTATTGCCTTTCATAAACAAAGCTGCGCATGAAATTCAAACTATTAAAAATTCACAATTATGAAGAGCTATTTAAAAGCATGGAAATTTTTACTTCAAAACCTTACAAAGTGAGTATGTGGTCTTTTAAAAATATGCATGTTTAATGTATCATGTTGTGGTAAACACATTAAGTGTATCTCCATGGTTATGTATCTTTTCAGATGTTGAACATCTTTATGAAAATTCCTTTGGAGATGAGTAATGTGGAAATTTTCAGTGCATTTCCATCTGATTCTTTCCAATTCCTGTCCTATAGCTATCATGATAAATTTCTTTTTCAGAGTGTCACACTATTTATACAAGTTGATATAGAAGAAGCTCTGTGTTTTCAAGCAGAGGACTATTCAGTGCACTTAAAGATGGATTTCAAAGCAGTCCCGATACAGCTCACAGTAGATCTCTGTCAACCCAGTGTTTTTCCAACTCAGAGAGACCCCTAGCTTGACTGGCCACTATAAGGATGAACATGGGTGGACAGGAGGGGAAGGAGCTTAAAAAACCAGGCATCTCTGGAAGGCCTTTTCTTCATTGCATCGGGAGCACTGCACATCTAAAACTCATGTTACCCACCAAATACTGGACTGACTGGAAAAGTGGTAACTTGCCAACTGTGCTTCCATTTTTTTCATACCACTGAGCCAACACACTTTGCATCTTGTGGAATCCAGTTGGGGAAATCACACATTAAACTTTTGTTTTCCAAAAACAAATCTTTGATCTTCAACTGTAGGTGCTTTTTTCTTTTTGTTGAGTCACCTGTTCACAAATAAAAAAAATAGTGTATTAAAAAATACTGACTTATTAAAACAGTGTGGTCTTTTTTTTATTTTTAAAGATTTTATTTATTTATTTGACAGACAGAGATCACAAGCAGGCAGAGAGAGAGGAAGGGAAGCAGGCTCCCTGTCGAGCAGAGAGCCCAATGCCAGGCTCGATCCCAGAACCCTGGGATCATGACCTGAGCCGAAGGCAGAGGCTTTAACCCACTGAGCCACCCAGGCGCCCCCAGTGTGGTCTTTTAAAAATATGCCATGTTAAATGTAACATGTTGTTGTAAACACATATGTGTTCCTGCACAACTTTTGCCGTACCTGACAATGATTTTTCTTACATTTGTAAAGGTAGTATATAAGAGACATGTTTAAAAAAAAAATGCATTTGTAAAAGCAATAAAAATGAAAACAAAATAATTAGAATACAACTTTGAACACTTCAAAGGTTGTTAGATTCACTTTTATTCCTTTTACTCTAATACTTTGTCAGAACTATACAATAAAAAGGACCAAAAACAGTCTAAAATATCAGCCTCATAAACTGCCAGTATATTAAGCATTAAATAATACTTTAAAAATTCACTAGAAAGTGAGTTTTTGTTATAATGACATTTGGAGGACAGGTTTAGTACCGATCTTCAAAGAGATGTTTTAGCTAAGTTTCAGCATAGTTGTGCTCGAGATCTATGGCTTACACATAGCACAGGAGCACTTACATGAAAAAGTTCCTTGTTAGATAAAAAGGAACACGCACATAAATCAAGTCCTAGCTTATTTTATTAGAGTTCTGCATTATCTAACACTATAGCCACATGTGGCTTTGGAGCATTTGAAATGTGGTACTATGAGAAAATGAATTTTTAATTTGATTTAAATTAAAATCTGAAGCTGTATAAAATATGTCTCCATTAAATACCATTTTACTGTTCTGCTAGGACATTTCAACTTTAACCACTGAATACTTAAGCATCCAAATTGAGGTGTGCTACTAGTATAAAGTGTAAAATACAAACTGGATTTTGAAGACTCGTTAAAAAAAAAAGTAAACTACAGCATCAATTTTTTATATTGATAGCATGTTGAAATATACTATTTTTGGATCCATCATATAAAATAAAGCACTACTGAAATCAATTTCATGTTTCCTTTTACCCTTTCAATGTGACTATGAGAACTGTTTACATTGTATCTGTGGATTGTATTGTAGTTCTATCAGTGTTACAGTTACTTCTTAAAGGAGGAACCTGCAGAAAACTAATTAGAAACTCAATACAAAGCCTATATAATTGTATTTCCTTATATAGAAATTTCCTTCAAGGACACCATTACCTAGAGCTATTGCTGAGATGAATTTTATTTTTTTGAAAGATTTATTTGAGAGAGCGAGAGTACACACAAGCAGGGTACAGGAGCAGAGGGAAAGGGAGAAGCAGGCTCCCCACCAAGCCCTGGGAACCTCACGCAGGGCTCAATCCTCAGACCCCAACCTGAGATCATGACCTGGGCCAAAGGCAGAGGCTTCACTAACTGAGCCACCTGGGCACCCTACTGAGAAGAGTTTTAAAGCAAGCTGTACAAGGCAGAACAGGAGATATTCACTTTTTATTTCAAGAAGTTTTGAGAAATTTTTTTCCCTGAAGAGCTAATTAATGATTTAAAAACTTCAAGAAACTGATTTTTAACAGGAAATACGAATTATAGACTTTTAGCCATCTGTAGACGAGTTTCTAAAAATTTAGTCTTTATAAACAATTTGCCAAGACCCCATACAAGGCAGTGAAAATAGCTCCTTTATTATTGCCTGCTCAAATTGGTGGGGATTACAACTAGAATATGGTTTGCTTCTGGTATAGGATACATTGTTTTTTCCTAAGTAATGTTGCAGATATCTGAGCTCATGTGTTTTCTGAGAGTATTTCACGGTTTCTCTCAACATTATAATACATAAACCAGCCATAAGTAATAATCAGCCAAAAAAAAAATATTTTGGGCAATTTTCAAAATGGTATTCATTGTGGATATATTCTTAACATTGACTCTAAGGGTAAATTAGCAGCCAAAAGCTAAAAATAACCACCCAAGCACTTGAACATATGAAATGCTGCTGCCATATCTACATGCTGGGCAGGATCTGGTGGGAAGGGTGAAAACAAATGGAGATGATGGGCTGGTATGAGCAACTGCTGATGGGCCATGTACCCCACCTGGGCTGCTGTGGGCAGCAGCTGTAATCAAAAGACGAAAACACTCATTTCTTAAAGGCCCAACTGTGCGGTTAACTAATCAGTGCCTATGATGGTAGTTTTAGGCATAGGAGCAGCTCACTGAGCTCCAAGGAAGAGACAAGGGGATAGGCAGCACTGTGAAGTGGTAGAAAATCTACAAATACCCAATTAGACACCCTGAATTCCTAGACATAGTCACACATTGAGAAGATGTGTGACTTCTACGAAGCACAGTGTACACAGGTCTAAGCACAAATGGTATGAAATTAATGTGGAATCCAAAAACACTGGGTCCTACACAGTGATACTTAGGGCCTCTATAAGTAGAGGATAGAGGAATACTAACAGCCCAATACCCAAGGCAGGATAGTGGTGCTACTACTGAATGCTGGCTAGAGCACACTAAAAAAGGTAATATACAACCACTTATTGAGGGGAATGCGATTTTTCATGACCTTTTTTGTTAAACCTACTGATCAGTGCAGACACTGATGGGGAGAGGTAGGGATGGGAGCATAGCAGAAGAACATCTACATTTTCCTGATGGAACCATGCCCAGAAGGAGCAGGTAAAATTGCTTTTGGTAGTATTTTATTTGACATATCCCAAACAGTATCTTTCAATATGTTAGTAATATAAAAAAATTAATGACATAATTTACCTTTTTTTGTATTAAGTCTTCAAAATCCAGATGTATGCCTGCATGTACATCAGATCTATTTAGTCAGAGTCCATGGGAGTGAAAGCCAAGAATCTGCATTTTTAATAAACTCCCAGGTAGTTCTTATGATCAGGCATATTTCAGAATCACTTCAGTAACAAGCTTATTATTCCTTCACCTACTTCCTTTCCAGGACTGTGAATCCCCCCCCACCCCCATGGTGAATGTTGTAAAGTCCACAGAAACACAGTCAGTCAAGAGAGCATAAGATAGTTAAAAGAGGGGCGCCTGGGTGGCTCAGTGGGTTAAAGCCTCTGCCTTCGGCTCAGGTCATGATCCCAGGGTTCTGGGATTGGGCCCCGCATGGGGCTCTCTGCTCAGCAGGGAGCCTGCTTCCTCCTCTCTCTCTGCCTGCCTCTCTGCCTACTTGTGATCTCTGTCAAAAAAAAAAAAAAAAAAAAAGATAGTTAAAAGAATATATGTGCATATTTGCATTACAGTTTGCAGAAGTTACATTTCAGTTAGGACTCCTGTTAGGTTCTATATTTACTAACTCTATATTTAGCATAATTTGTGCCACAGAACTATATAATTAGCTTACTAAAATGTGTTCAAGTAAAAACTCTATTACTTTAGGAGAACCCCAAATGTGTTACCAGTACTCACAGGGGTACTCAATAAGACATGCATACACTTATTAGGTATTTACTGTATTAGCTGCAATTTTATCTGCATCATGCAGTAACTAGGATAGGTCTTAAAATGATAAATCTTCATTTTATAAGCTTAGAAAGCTAAATAATCAGACAGTGCAATAATTTTTCTAAACTGATCTTAGAAAATTCCTTTGTAGGCAGCTAAGAAGACATCAAAATTCAATATACACAAGTTTGTACCTGAAATACTTTAGTCAGAAAAGGCCTTTTATGTATGTATGTATGTATTCATTCATTCATTTTAAAGATGTTTTTTATTTGTCAGAGAAAGAGAGAAAGCACAGGCTGGAGAGCGGCAGGCACAGGGAGAAGCAGGTGCCCCGCTGAGCAGGGAGCCTGATGCAGGGCTCAATCCCAGGACGCTGGGATCATGACCTGAGGCGAAGGCAGATGCATAACCGACTGAGCCACCCAGGCATCCTGCCTTCTCTCTCTCTCTTTTTTTTTTTTAGCGATTTTATTTATTTATTTGTCAGAGAGAGAGAGGGAGAGAGAGCGCGTGAGAGAGCGAGCACAGGCAGGCAGAGTGGCAGACAGAGGCAGAGGGACAAGCAGGCTCCCTGCCGAGCAAGAAGCCCGATGTGGCATTCGATCCCAGGACACTGGGATCATAACCTGAGCCGAAGGCGGCCGCCCAACCAACTGAGCCACCCAGGCGTCCCACCTGCCTTCTCTGTTTTTTTTAAAACAAGAAGTAAGACTGTCACTTTACTGGAATAAGACTGTCCTCTTTATTTGGGCTATAGCTATACTGTAGAAATTTTAATTTCTTTATTTTTTTAAAGATTTTATTTATTTATTTGAGAGAGTGTGTGAATGAACAAGAGAGCATAAGCAGGGTAAAGAACAGAGGGAGAAGCAGGCTTTCAGCTGAGCAGAGGATCCCCCGCCCCCAAAAATGTCCTGGGATCATGAACTGGGCCAAAGGCAGACACTTAACTGAGTAAGCCACCCAGGCACCCCTATTGTAGAAATTTTTAACAAGCAGGATATAAACACAGCATTTATGTAACAGTATCTTTGAAAAGCATTTTACTGTAAGTTCCCAGAAACTACACAAAACCTGAAGTTCACAAATCTATGGTCCATGCTCTGAGTTGTATAATAATACACCTCATGAATAAAATAGAACAGACCTCACCATTTAATATAAAAGCTGTATTACTGAATGCTACAAAAAGAAAATAAGACCATTTACCTGTTAATTTTCCCAATCTGTGCAAGGCAAAGCTTCCTCTTCATCCTCTGACTCAGGGGACGCTTCTTTGATTCTTCTAAGAGCTTCATGGATGCTCCGTGTTAGAGGGTCTGTGTCAGGCAGAAGTGTGAAGGATTCTCTCAGCACTTCCTTCTGTACCTTCTTCAATTTTACCCCTTTCCTGATTTGTGCCAAGATATTATTACTATCATCTTCATCAGGAAAAGGAGGCAGAGTTCGCTGTTCAACCTTTTTCAGATGAAAACTACCACGCTTCAAGGAAGCTAGCACCTCATCCATGGGTGAGCTCACTTTACAAATGAAAGAGAATAATTACAGTTAGGATCATAATTACAGTCCAATTAGAAACCTTTAGACTTTAGGACTGTGCTAGCCAAGGACACTGAAAACAACACAGACCATGAAGTGTGGACTGAAGGTTTCCCAGAAACAGATGGGATCCCAATTATGTTTGTTTAAACAAACAAAGCCACAACACCCAGATTCCAATTCCAAGTTATTATCTCTATGATTTCCCATGTAAGAGAAGCAAGCAGATTGGGAGCTGGAAGGTGGTCTTTGGGAATATAATGGGTGAGACTCCCAAAGGATTTCCATAATTCAACAGCTCAATCTAAATTCAGACAGCAACTGAGTTACAAATATAATTTTAAAGAACTAAGTTTTGATTCACTATGGTCATTTTTAAATTTTTTTCAAGAGATTTTTAAATTATTATTATTAAATAAACTCTATCCCCCATGTGGGGCTTGAACTCATGCCCCTGAGGATCAAGAGTTGCATGCTTTACTGACTGAGCCAACCAGGTGCCCTGACTACAGTGACTTTTATTTTTTCCATTTAGCTGTTTTACATATAAAATTCTACTCCAGTTATGGTAAAAATATTTTAATGTATGATTTCTCAGATTAAAATTTAATATACAAATTATTTTATATAATGTTCTCCCAATGAAAGCGACAGACCAGAATTATAACAGCTTTATTAAGGCATATATGGCATGCAATAAATTATGTATGCTATTCCCCATCCTTCCCTGCTTTTTTATACAAAGAGTATACCAAGGCCCTCAATAAATATGTGACCAAATGTTACATGGTCCTGCCAGTATCATCCTAGTGTGACAGTCCTGCCCAGCTAGCTTACATTTTCTGGTGTGAATACCTTACTCGTTATTTCCTAGGTTTAAAAATCAGATTTTCTTTTTAACACAGAAGGAGCCACTTACTATGTATTACCAGATAGACCAAGTATCACTTCAAAATACATAGGTTTTAGAACATCCCTAAGAGCTCAAGAAGGTACACATTTCTGTGTCTGTACACGTTTGCTGATGCGGACTGGGAGAATCTGTGCCAAGCTGGGACTCTGCAAACCTCTTTACTATCGAATAATGTCCAAAAATAAAATGTTTTAAGCTCTGTTGGGTGCTATGAAATATAATGTCCTTTGATTATGTCTTAACTTATTCAACACATGAATATGAACATGTCTGTTTAACTTACCTCTTCTCCTCTGTAAACCTTCAGCAGTCTTTTTCAGCTTCTTCCTGGCACTGACCAGCTGGCTGCTGTCAAAGAGATGTGCTGAGGGTGCACTCGCAGACTTCGGGATCCTCTTCTCATTCCCCTCTGTTCTAGGCAGACCTTTCTCCAGTATCTCTAGGGAGCTGTCCTTAGCAACAGGCAGAGGGGGTGGTGGGGGGGGAGGGGGAGGCGGGGGTGGGGGAGGTGGTGTTGGGGGAAGAGGTGGGGGGAGTGGAGCTGTGGTAATAGAACCTGGTTCGAGGTCAATATTATTCAAAACTGGAAGAGATACAGTGGGCGGCAGTTCAGAGGTAACACCACTGAGAGGTAATGAAGTGGCTTCAAGTTGTGCTAATGAAGTATCTTCAAGTTGTGAGAGGCTTTGGGCTTCTGTTTTCTGTGATGACCCAAGCTTCCCTCTTCCTTCCTCCACCTTTTCACTGTTATCTTCTGGCTGCAGCGCTCCTGGCAGAGGGTCATACTGGTCCTCACAGGGCACAGGACTGGCTGTGCTTCTTCTTCTGGCATGAGCCAGTCGCAATCTGGTTGATTTAAGTATGACTTGGCCAGGGTACCTCTAAAAAAATCAGAAGTTATTATAACTGGTCAAATTACAGTAAAACAATTTATGAACAAATGGCTATTTTCTCCTTCTGATGCAAGATGTTATTTTGGAGCTTTTGTGATTTTTCAGGGAAAGTGCTTTTAAAAAGTTAAACAGAAGACTAGAATACCAAAGCATAATACCTTTCGACAATTATCACTGAGCTCTATTTGCTTATCAACTCCTTTATCAAGGCCCTATCCCCTCTTAACCACTTAAGAAGCCAACTGTTCAGAATTATTAGAGGATTTGAAGATTTTTAATGACTGAAATTAGTAATTTAAATGGCAAAATAGCAAGATAAAAATACGAAACATATATGATATTGGTATATAGAAAGCTATGAAACTATTAGCTTCTTACATGTATTTTCACAAGCTTACAGTTCAAAACATTATTTTTCATTTTTTAAACATTTCCTGGTATTCAAAAAACTCTCAAAACAGTATGTACATTTTTATGATGGAAGAAGAGGGAATACAATTTTAAGTACTAACATACAGAACTCTTATTCTATCTTTTACTGTAGTAAAACCTACCATTAATGGATTTGGTGAACAACATTTACTTAACACAAGGTTTATCCTTGTCAGCACAGATAGGAAGTTAGACTCCTGAGCACTTCCATAACTAGAACCATTCAGCTTCAACACAGCTCCAAGGAAATGTATGGCCACTGTGTACTGGCATCCAGGGTCCTGGGTTAGCCTGGCAAGAGAACTGCCAAACCATTTCTCATGTAAGCTGTTCCACTCTCTAATTCTGCCTGGGTCATTTCCATAGATTGTTAGCATAGGTTACTGTATGTGCTATTAATAACAAGTTGATGCCTGAAATGGATAGTCAGTTGTGAACTAATTAATTTTATAAAACAACAACAAAAATCCAGGTTTGCCAAAGGCTGTGATGATCCTTCTATACTACTGAAATGATAGGCCAACACCACGAGGTTATTAATGCTGTACACAAATGGAAGAAAGGTATGGGGTGCTTGGGTGGCACAGTCACTTACATGACCGACTCTTGGTTTCAGTTCAGGTCATGATCTCAGGGTTGTGAAATCGAGCCCTGTGTCAGGCTCCACGCTCACTGCTTAAGACTCTCTCTCCTTCTCCTCTGCCCCTGCCCCCACTCATTCTCCCTCTCAAATGATAAATCTTTAATACCTACACAAATGAATGGGAGAAAGGTAGTCCTGTAATCACACATTAATTTTAAAAAAATATTTTAATATTTTATTTGTTATTTTGTTTATTTGAGAGAAGAGAGGGGGCGGAGAATCTAGAGTACACTCTGCCAAGCGCAGAGATGGACATGGGGCTTGATCTCTCAATCCTGAAATCATGATCTGAGAGAAAATCAAGAGTCAGACACTTAACCAACCTAGCCACCCAGGAACCCCTCAAGTAATTGTCTTTTTTTGGTTTTGTTCAAATTCAAAAGTTTGTTAACAAATAGTGTATTATCATTTTTAGGGTAGAATTGTGATTCATCAGTTGCATATAATACTCAGTGCTCATAACAAGTGTCCTCCTTATTGTCCATCACCCCATTAACCCATCCCCAATAATTATATTTTCTAAATTATAAAGGAAAAACTAAGTTTTTTCTCATAATCTTCCAATAGGCATGTATATGTAGCTGTTTAAAAAAAATGAAAAACAACCAATTGATCATACTTTTATTACCTGTTTAAAAGTTCGAAGTCTATCCAGTGTTCTCTGTCTTTCCTGGCTAACCCAAGCACTTTTTCTTTCTTCTTCATCATGTAATTTTTCTCTCTTCTGATAAAAAAATGAACAGTAATTTCATTATGACATGTCCTGTTCATTTTTATTATTAACTGGGGGGGGGGGAATACCTCTCAATGAGTAAAAAAAGTAAAATGGGTAACTCAAAGAATGATTCATTAAACAAAGTGTTTCATGGAATGAAACTACCAATTTTTAACAGAAATCATAGTTTTAAAATTCACAGTGATATGCTGACAAAACAATACCATTTCTTTTTTTGCATTTACCCACAATTAAAGATGTTTACTCTGAAAAATAATATCAAATCTTCTCTAGACCAAAAAATGTTCCATTTTGAGTTTCTGGCTTAGACAATTTAAGTATAAAATACTTGTAGCTGCTCTATTCTGCAAAATCAAATAGTTACCTTAAAAATAAAAATAAATAAAATCAGCAACCACCTGGCCAATAACTTAGATACCAATATAACCAGCAGTTAGGAAAAAAAGTATTTCTTGAATTATATGTGAATCATTTGGTTTAATATCACACCTTGAAGTTGGGAGTTATCTGCAGAGAAATTTAGAAGTTTCCCTATGTTAATGCTAACTGGTAGTAACTGTGGAAAACCGTTTGTATGTTTGGTATATGGAGACTCCTCAAAAAATTAAAAACAGAATTACCTTATGATCCAGTAATTTCACTACTAGGTGTTTACCTAAATAATATGGAAATACTAATTGGGAAATATATATGCACCCCTATGTTTATTGCAGCATTATTTACCATAGCCAAATAATGGAAGCAGCCCAAGTGCCCATCTATGGAGAAATGAATAAAGAAGCTTTGGCATATATAAAACAGAATATTGCTCAGCCATAAAAATAATGAAAACTTGCCATGTGCAACAACATGGATGGACCTAGGGAGTATAATGCTAAGTTAAATAAGCCAGAGAAAGACAAATACCGTATGATTTCACTCACATGTGGAAATTAAGAAACAAATGAGCAAAGGAAAAAAAGAGAGACAAACCAAGGAACAGATTCATAACTATAGAGAACAGATTGTTGCCAGAGGGGATGTGGGTGGGAGGAATGGGTAAAAGAAGTGATGGGAATCAACAATACACTTATCAGGATATGTACTGAGTAATGTAAAGAATTGTTAACCGATCACACTGTACACCTGAAACAAACAGAATACTGTTGTTAACGATACTGAAATTTAAAAAAAAAATTCCTTATGTTGCTGAATCACCTAAAGGTTATCTAATTAAATCTGATTTTACAGAACAAGTATTAAATGAAAAGGCATTTTAAGCTTTGCAAATAGGCTATGACTTTATTTCCTGCTTTGTTTTAAAAACTTGGAGATACCTATTATAAGATCAGTTAATTCCATGTGAAGAGGACAGTGGTCTCCAGTGTGTCACTAACTTGTCTTTCTTCCATTTGTCCTTTTCAAAGTCAATCTTCCATTATTCCCTTACTCTATTACGTCTTTTCTTTCCCACCACCAGCTTTTCCCTGAACCATTTCTACTGATGGTTACTGCTTCATTTGTCTTGGATGATTACACTGAAATCCAAAGGCTGACTTGAATCTTCAGGCTGAAAGTGAAAGGGTTTCAGGAAACCCTGACCTACAATCATCACCTGGTAAAGTTACTAGACTTCCACAACCAACAAGAACTCATAATACTTATGAGTATCTGAACAGAAAAATCAAGTCTCATGGAGGATGGGTGGAAGGAGGGGAGACCTCAGGACTCACACTGCAACATTCAAAGCTACAAGAAAGTGTAACAGTCTCTATACAATTTTAATAGAGAGAAAATATGACAGTATGACCTAGAAAAATTGTCTCTTAGGAAACGGACAAGCACCCCCCAAAACATGCCAGAACACAGAATATATGGTAACCATGAAACCTTCCTGAAATGGCACCTCAATGAAATCTAACTCTAAGATGAAACAAAATAAACTCAGGAAGCGGAGTTGTGATAATCTATTTTAGTGGTTTTTTCTTCATAATTTTTTTCTCTATTGCTTTAATCTTTCATAAAATCACATGTCTTTTTATAAACACAGTAAGGTTTTTAAAAATGTGTAAGAATGGTTGAGAAGCATCTTTGCAAGCCACTAATTTTAAAATTGCTTATAATAAGAATTTTTAAAGTAGTAGTAAAAAAAAAGGAGTTTATAATATGCTTTTTAAAATCAAAATCTAGGGGCGCCTGGATGGCTCAGTGGGTTAAGGCCTCTGCCTTCGGCTCAGGTCGTGATCCCAGGGTCCTGGGATCGAGCCTCACATTGGGCTCTCTGCTCAGCAGGGAGCCTGCTTCCCCCCCACCCTGCCTGCCTCTCTGACTACTTGTGATCTCTGTCAAATAAATGAATAAAATCTTAAAAAAAAAATCAAAATTTATACACGTATCAAGATGCTCAATTATTCAGGAAAAACCTCACCTTGCTTATAGATTAGACCAAATTAGAAAATATTAAGACAAGGAAACTTTTTAAGATCAGAAAATAAAGAAGGATAGCATGTTAAAATACCATCTAAGAGAGTAATAAGCTAGGGGGAAAGCAGCTGAAGATAAAGAAATTACATTCTTCCATCAGACACTTGTCAATTACCTGTCAGTCAGGCCCTATATTAAGCCCTAGAAAAGCAGCATGGATGTGTAAGTGGTGGTGACAAAGAATAGGCATGTTAAATAGACCCAGAGGTTTAATTGTCAAGTACCAGGGGAGAAACGGACCCTGCTGGAGGTAGAGGTGGTAAAAAAGAGGAAAACTCCCAGAAGAGAGCACAGGCAGCTCTTGGACAACAGCCTTAGCAACTTTTTTTTAGATAGGTCTCCTCAGGCAAAGGAAACAAAAGCAAAAATCAAATACTGGGACTATACCAATATAAAAAACTTTGGCACAGTGAAGGAAACCATCAATAGAAGGAAAAGGCAACCTACTGAATGGAAGATACCTGCAAATGATATGTCCGGTAAGGAGTTAAAATCCAAAACATATAAAGAACTTATACAACTCAATACCAAAGAAAATAATAATAATAATAATAATCTGTTTTAAAATAATAATAATCTGCTAAAAAATGGGATTTTTTCCAAAGATATGCAAATGGCCAAAGGACTCATGAAAAAACACTCAACAGCACTACTGATTGGGGAAATGCAAATCAAAACTACAATGACATATCACCTTACACCTGTCAGAATGGCTAGAACGAAAAAGACAAGAAATAACAAGTGTTGGAGAGGATATGGACAAAAGGAAGCCTTGTGCACTGTTGGTGGGAGGGTAAAGTGGTGCAGCCACTGTAGACAACAGTATGGAGGTTCCTCAAAGAAACTAAAAATATAAATATCCTGAGGCGCCTGGGTGACTCAGATGGTTAAGCATCAGCCTTTGGCTCAGGTCGTGATCTCCATCCAGGTCCTGGGATCGAGCCCCATGTTGGGCTCCCTATTCAGCAGGAAGCCTGCTTCTCCCTCTCACCCTGCCTGCTTCTCTGCCTGCTTGTGCTCTCTCTCTCATATAATGAATAAAAAATTTAAAACATATATATCTCTCCTATGATACAGTAATTCCACTTATGGGTATTTATCCAAAGACTATGATAACTAATTTAAAAAGATATATGCACCCCCATGTTTGTTACAGCATTATTCACAATAGCCAAAATATGTAAGTGTCCAAAGTGTCCATTGAAAGAGGAGTAGATGAAGATGGATATGTACAATGGACTATTACTCAGCCATAAAAAGAATGATTATCTTGCCATCTGTAACAACATGGATGGACCCAGGGGTTATTATGCTAAATGAAGTAAGTCAGACAAACACTGTATGACTTCACTTATATGTGGCATTTAAAAAACAAAATGAACGAGCAAACAAAAAAGGCAGAAACAGAGCCATCAGCAACAAAGAACAAACTTGTGGTTTCCAGAGGGGAGGGAGGTGGGCAGGTGGGCAGGTGGGAAAAGGGCGTGGAGGGCAATGGAAGGTACCGGCTTCCAGTTACAGAATGACTAACTCATGGGGATAAAAGGTACAGCACAGGGAATATAGTCAGTGGTACTGTGACAGTGCTGTGTGGTGACAGGGGTAACTGTACTTGTGGAAAGGACAGCATGATATATGGAACTGTCATATCAGTATGTTGTACACCCAAAACTAACGTAACTACACTTCAATTTTAAAATATCCTCTGTTAGAAAAAAAAAAAACCTATTATGAACACCAAACTAGCTAAGAGACTACACCTTAACTGTTCAACACAACAAGGGACTGTAATTATGTGATGCCACAGAGATGTCAGCAATGGCAATCATACTGCAAAAGGAATGTTATCAACTCAATATGCTACATATCTTAAATTTACACAATGTTACATCTCAATTAAAAAAAACTGCCAAGAAATGGTTTTTAAAAAAACACTGTAATCAAAATAATCTTAAAACTTCTGATCAGTTTCCATAAACTACAGCTTAAATTATTCTGCATGTACTTTCTTGAAGTGAAACCCATCAATTAAGAGAGTGTGGTTAATAAAACAAGAATGCACTTTTTAATGGGAAAACTGACTTGTTTCCCCACCATTTCCTTCTCTTACTCAATCTGTCTCTCAGCTTTAAAAGAGTAAGTAGCTTTACACTTCTTTTTTTTTTACACTTTCTATTCTGTTTCAGAGAGTTTACTATCAAATATTCAAATAAACTTCCAGGGCGCCTGGGTGGTTCAGCTGGTTAAGCAACTGCCTTCAGCTCAGGTCATGATCCCGAGTCCAGGGATGGAGTCCCTCATCAGGCTCCCAGCACCATGGGGAGTCTGCTTCTCTCTCTTTCTCCCCTCTTATGTTCTCTCTCACTCTCTCTCCCTCAAATAAATAAATAAAATCTTTAAATAAACTTCCTTATTCTTAAATATTTAATTTGCAAGGATTTCCAGAAGAAATTTTTGAGACACTAACGTTAACATCTAGGAATGTGCATTTTAAACCACCTGAGGGGTTTAAATAAAGGTGGCTTAAAACCAACTTTGAAAAACAATGATTTATTTTAATGTAAGCCAACTTGCCATTTACTACAGTTATGCATGTTAAAGATAAGGAGATAGCTAGTGGGCTCATTCTCCCACACTTAGCATTCCACCCAAAGCTCATATTAGGCAGAAATTATAAGGCAGATGACATCTATTTTGAGATCCCCTCAAGTATCAGTTTCCTCATTTTTACTCTTCTTTGCCCTAAGAAACTCTTGAAGAAAGGATTTAATACTCATTCTAAAAAAATAATTAGGGGCACCTGAGTGGCTCTGTCAACTGTGTCTGCCAGGAGCACTGGGCTTCCTGCTCTGTTGGTGAATCTGCTTCTCCCAGCTCCCCTTGATTGTGCTGTCAAATAAACAAAAATCTTAAAAAAAAAAATTAGTTACTACATCTATAGAAGTAGTGGCATTTCACCAAAGCCAAAATCTTCATAAAATAAGTAACAACGTCTAAGCAAGGATCTCAACAGCAATCTGAGAGCACAGGTGCAGATGCTGATAGAAGGAATTCTTTTTTTTTTTTTTTTAAAAACGATTTTATTCATTTATTTGACAGAGAAAGAGCGAGAGAGGGAACACAAGCAGGGGGAGTGGGAGAGGGAGAAGCAGGATCCCCACTGAGCAGGGAGCCTGATGCAGATGCTGAAGAATTGTGCCATCCATGCGCCCCTGATAAGAGGAATTTTATTTGCCTGTTCCACTGGCCCATTATCTACCCCTTACAAGGCAGCTTCTGATCTATGAAAAGCACAATGCAAAATAAAAATGCAAGAATTAATTTTGCTATTTCTAGTTTCATGGAGAATGATGAATCTTACAGTTTAGTATGGCTACTTTTACATGTTTAAAATCAAGAGTAAGGGGCAACTTTAACATATGCCAAAAGGAGCTTAAGGGATTAATGCAGACAAATTTAAGCCATCTGGCCTTTAGTGTGACAAAAATTACATGAGCATATATAGTGACATGGTCTTGTCAGCATTTCTACTATTTAATGAAATTTAGAATCAGTGGTTGAGTAATCTAAGACACATATGTCTGAAAAGACTGAAAGGATAATACAATGCAGACATGATGACGTATAGCAATGCTGGAAGTAGATTTCTTTCTTTCTTTTTTTTTTTTTAAAGATTTTATTTATTTATTTGACAGAGAGAGAGATCACAAGTAGGCAGAGAGACAGTCAGAGAGAGAGGAAGAAGCAGGCTCCCTGCTGAGCAGAGAGCCCGATGTGGGCCTCGATCCCAGGACCCTGGGACCATGACCTGAGCTGAAGGCAGAGGCTTTAACCCACTGAGCCACCCAGGCGCCCTGGAAGTAGATTTCTAATGCAATTTTTAAAAAAGTGACCTAAGGCGCCCGGCTAGCTCAGTCGGTAGAGCATGAGACTCTTAAAAAAGTGACCTAATGAGCTCAGTAAATGATAAACAGAGAGTAAGTTCCTCAACTTCATAAGGAACATCTACCCAAACCCTATAGCTAAGCATGGTAGTTAATGGCTAAGAAACTAGAAGCTTTCTTGTTAAGATCAGGAAAAGACAGAATGTCCCCTCTCACCATTCCTTCTCAGTTTGCATCATACTGGAAGTTGTAACTAATGGAAAAAGAGGAGTAAGTAAAATGTGTATAGATTGGGATATAAGAAATAAACCTGTCTTCATTTGCAGGTGACAAGACTGTTCCTGTAGAAAACCTGAAAGAACCAACAGAGAAAGAAAACGAACTAATGAATGGATTATAGCTTGGCTGCAAGGCTGACATATAAAAGTCAAATGCTTTCTAATGTACCAGCAATGAACACATCAAGTTTAATATTAAAAACTATTTACATTACCACCCCAAAAAAGAAAGATTTAGGCACAAATCTAATAAAATATGTGTAAGATCTATATGAGGCCAACTATAAAATTAATAGATTAAATAAAAAGGATCTAAGTAAATGGAGAGCTAATTCCCTGTTTATAGATAGGAAAACACAACATCAAGGTGCCCATTACTCCAAAATTTAAGCTATAAACATGATGTAATCCTAGTCAAAATCTCATTTGCATACTTTGTGGTTACAGACTAGCTTTGGAGAGGCAAAAGACCTAGATAAAAATAATAGAACACAGAGTACAAAATAGACCCAAATATATTTAATCAACTGATCTTTAACAAAAGAGCCAAGACAATCCAAAGGAGAAATGACAGGTTTTTTTTTCCTTAAAGAAATGGTGTTGGAACAACTAGACATTCACATTTAAAAATAAGTTTAGCTACAGACCCTAAACCCTTCAGATACATTAATACAGATCACAAACTTAAATGTAAAATAAACTATAAAGCTCCCAAAATATAACACAGGAGAAAATATAGATGACCTTGGGTTTGAAGAGGACTTTTTAGAAAAAGCACCAAAAGTACAACTCATGAAAGAAAGAAGTGATAAGCTGGACTTCAGTAACATTGAAATTAAAAATATTCTGTTCTGCAAGAGATGCTGACAAGAGAATGAAAAGACAAGCCGCAAATTTGAAGATATTTGCAAAAACCCTATCTAATAAAGGACTGTTCTCCAGAATAAAGAATTCTTAAAACTCTATAAAAAGAAAACAAACAACCCAATTAAAAAACCAGCAAAAGACCTGTACATAACCTCAGCAAAGAAGGTATAAAGATGACAAGAAAGCATTATGAAAGGATGCTCATTATCATACACCACCAGGGAACTGCAAACTAAACACTCATCAGATACCACCACATTCCTAATTAGAATGGCTAAAATACCAATGCTGGTAGGAATGTGGAGCAATAGAAACTCTTATTCATTGCTTGTAGCAATGCAAAATGCTACAGCCACTCTGGTAAACAATTTCACAGTATCATACAAAATTAAGTCACCTCTTACCTTATGATCCAGCAATTGTGCTCCTTGGTATTTACCCAAGATAGGAAAATTTATATGCACACAAAAACCTGTATGAATGTTCACAGCATTTTTATTCATAAGTGCCAAAACTTGGGAGCAACCAACATGTCTCATTAGGTAAATCAGAAAATAAACTGTGGTATATCCAGCACTTTTTAAAAAGAAATAAACTATCATGCCATGAAAATGCATGGAGAAAAAGAAAGAAAATAACTGGAGGAATCTTAAATGCATATTACTAAATTATGTCAATCTGAAAAGGCTACATATTGTATGAGTCCAATTAGACATTCTAGAAAAGGCAAAACTGTGGAGAGAGTAAAAAGATCAATGGTTGCCAGGGATGTAAGAGAGGTGGGGATGAATACATAGAACACAGGACATTCTCAGGGTGGTGAAAATGTTCTATATGACATTACAATGGTGGATTCATGACACTATGTATTTGTCAAAACCAACAGAACACACAGCACCAAGAATGAACTTATACTATGTACTTTGGGTGGTAACGATGTATCAGTGTTGATTCACTGAATGTAACAAAGGTACTACACTCTTTGCTGGAAGGAGAAGCTCTGCATGTATGGAAGTATATGGGAACTGTCTACATCGTGTACTTAATTTGTCTAAAACTGTTCTAGGTGATAATATATGCATACATATTAAACTACATACATTCCTATATACATATGTATGGAATTAATGCTAACATCTAGTTACTCACATTTTTTATTCTCTATAAATCTTATTCACTTTGAGACATGTAAATATCAAAGTTTTCTTCTACGTCTCCACAAGTTCAAACTTACTAGTTGTACTGTGTGATGGGTTCTATATTCATCTTCACTCCGAAGGCGCTGTTGGAACTTTTCATTATGTTTTGCAATACAAATTTCCTATAAATACATAAAATATGTTTTAATATAAGTGAAACCTGGAAGACTTGGAACACCACACCCGAGTTTATTTTATTGGGTTTAATTTTTAATCTTAACATGCACCTACATGGCAAAGCACCAAGTAGGCCATGTCTTTTCTCATCTGGGGTATTGAAGTAGCAGAAACCAAATCAGTAGGAACTGAAAAAACTACTAACTTTTCTAAAGATTCTAAGTCTTATTATACTCTTTAAACTAGTCTGAGTTTACAGACTCTTGGCTGAAAGTCTGTATTCTAAACTCTGATGGGTTAAAGAACATGATTTTGCCTGGAGTGTTTAAATAGTATTATGAAGTCTGTATCTTATGGTCAGAGACTGAGTGAAAAGACCTTAAAGATAAAAAGTCAGAAGGACAAAGAAAATATAGGAATGCTTATTCTAATCACATGAAAATAAAAACGTAAGAGTAAACTAGGAAATATGTGCCTCTTTACAAAATAATGCACTGTCTGACAACATTTAATGATACCATGCTATGTCTTCATTTTCCCTCAGTATTCCTAGAGAAGACCTCCAGGTAAAAAGATGGCCATTGGTTTCCAACACTCTCAAAACTATACCAAAAGATCACTCTTCTAACCAGATAAAGTGATACAATGAATGGCCTTTTAAGCCAGTAAACTACATTGTAAAGCAACTGTACAGTCTTTTCCACTAACACTGGGTTGACTCTACTGCCTAACAGTAGAGATCCTGAAATTAAATTCTTCAGGGCAGTCTCCGGAGGAATAACAAAGGTAGTATTATACAAGTAACATGCTACAGTGATACAATGACTCAGGCTTCGAAATCACACAGTCCTAAGACAGAATCCTACCTTTGTACCATAACTAGCTGCTTTTCCCTGGGTGATTTATCTAACTACCAGGAGCCTTAATTCCCTTGATTACAAAATGAGAATATAGGTCCCAAGTCCCTTATTTTTCAGATTTAGAACGGTGGGATGTTGTATACACACTACCCAGTAACTCCAGCAGGATCTGGGAAATAGCACCTTATAAGAAATACTAACATTGCGCAGTGAAATATATGAATAGTCAAAGTAAGTGGAGATGGACAACTTCCTCTCAGTTCAGCTCTGGGTTTGTCACCAAGTATGAGAATGCTTTTGATTTCTGGAGCTTTCTTGACTTAGGCAAAAGATTATTCTCTCATTTGACTAGGTGTATCATTAAAGAAGATAAAAAAGCATAAAGAATAATGTTGTTTCTATTCTTCTTCTTAAAAAGCACAATCACAAAACATAGACTTCAAGTCCTCATGACCTAGCCAGACACCCAGTCTTTGTTTTTTCAAGAGGAGAGGCAGGACATGATTTACATACAGTCAGAACTACCCTTGGGTATGGAATTCTATTGAGGATATTGGATAAACCGAGCACCCTGTGACTGTGGGCATGCTGACACAGAGAAAAGGATTACAACAATGTTACATGGAGAGGTGTGTTTTTATCTTTTGTATCATACAGTTGATCTCATTATCTTTCTTTTTAGGATGTAGTGTTTCTAGTTTCCTCTCTTTCCAGTCATCTCTTGTCATTACTTCTTCCCCCTGCAGACCTACCACCCCAGGTGGCAGGCTTGGAGGGATGGGGATAAGGATGGGAGGGACAAGACCATCGAGAGCCCCTGACTCCATGTGATGTGATGGGTTGCAGCAGAGATGAGGCTGCAGGTTCTTGGGGGGTAACCTTCCCTACCTCAGATTTAGATTAATATATATAATTCCTTCAAGACTGAGGTCAGAACCAAGATTTCACTAAAGAACAGCACTGGCCTCCTTAAATAATGAGCCAGGAATTGCATTACATGGGATCCTACAGTCATGCCTTTCAGCAGTCATGTTCAGGGTGCCGCAGGTAAACAGGACATCATCACTGGCTGTTCTAATGTGATTAACAGGGCTGCTCTCGGAAAACGACAAAATGTTAATATATTTGCAAAGAGGTAACTCTCACTTAGTTTTAAAACATGCAACTATTAGTGACAAACCAGGTTAGAATTATCAGATATGGGTCAAGGATTAAGTAATGCCTAAAAGCAAGATTTACAATTAAGGCTGTCTATTCAATAAATACCTATTATATACCTTCTTATTTCTGAGGTAGGCTTTCTTGGCTGAAACCCGTCCACGTCTTGCTTCCAGCTGGCGTGCTTTCTGCTGAAGTTTCTGTAGCTCTTCTCTCTGTAAGTGCATAGACGCTGCCATCTCTTCCTTCTCCAGCATGGCCTCCATGCTTTCATAAGTGTCATAGTAAACCACTTCATCTCTCTTTTCTATAACAAAACAACAACAAGGGGTAGTGGCTAAGAGCATAGGCTATGGAGCCAGAGAGAACAATGTTCTAATCCACTTATTGGCTCTGTAACCTCAGGCAATCCTTTTGTTGTTGTTGTTGATTAAGACTCAGTTTGATCCTAGTACATCTTTTTTTTTTTTTTCTTTTAGTAAGCTCTATACCCGGCACAGGGCTTGAAGTCATGACCTCTTCAGCTTCTTTGTAGAATAGTGATTATTGGGAAATATTACCTTCTAGGGTGTGTGTGTGTGTGCAGTGTGCAGGAAGTGCTTAGCAGTGTCTGACAAGCAGTTAGATGCTCAATAAATGTTAAGTATCATCCCCAGAACTCAAATTTTTCTGGCTAAAACAACTTAACAAAAGTGAGCATTTTGCATAGTAATAACGTAACTGCATTGCTAAGTATAGTTAATGACTTGAGTTTAGAAGCTCCTCTAAAAGGTTTTATGTTAGGATTTTTTTAGTCTCAACAGTTTCAAGGACCATAGCTGACATATACATACATACATACATACATACATACATACACATATATATATGTATGTATTTTTTTTCCCTCTATGTATTCCTTTTTTTTTTTGGATTTATGTGGTTGAATGCATACCATACCCGATATAAGTCTTTTGATGCTTTCTAGCTGGGCTGTCAATAATAACTCTTCACACTTCAGGATTTCAAACTGTACTTCATACAACTGAAGTTGCAGATCATAATAATCAGCTTCTAACTGATCCAATCGTGCTATGGCTTCTGTACCACCCTGCAAACTCTGCATCTGTGTGAAAATAAAATAAAAATATTTCTAGCTGGTAGGGACAAGAAAAAAAAAAATCAAGCTATGATTAGAAATGAATACTAATAATACGGCATAAATCCACGAATCAACTGTTCCAAGAAAAAAACTTGAAGTCAAGAACTAAGATTTTTTTAAAAGATAGAAAGATAGTTAATAATCAAAACATAATACAGTTTTGGAAATAACTAGGCAAATATAGTAAATTAATTTGTATTACATCTCATGTTTAGAATCTATTATTATGATATAAATATTAAAAGTGTCCTTTCCTTTCAAAAGTGGATGTGCTAGGATATTCAGTTTTCTCTTCCAAATACGAATGAGATTATGTATGAATGAATAAGATTAAGCCATACTGGCATAGTTACAACCACAGGATAAAAGTCTGGTTTCCCTACACACTGGAACTATGTTGTGCTCCATGGTTACAACCTGACTAGACTCTGGAATCTGGTGAGTGAGGAGCAAGGTGAGTGGGTGTGAGGAAAACAATATGACAGAATTGATTTTCTAGAAATCCCTGCAATCTACTAATAATGGTAACTATTAATATCTTTAAGTAAATGCACTCAGGATCCTATATCCAACTCAGATTTCTAAGCATGTCTTATGAAGTGGTGGTTGGTCTTACATGAGGTTTGCTTGGTTGGTTGATTGGGTTTTGGTCCTGAAAAGAAGGGAGGAAGAGACTTTGCCAGGCATTAGAAGGAAATTACTCTCAGCAAAGTATGCTTCAGATACTAGTCCCTAACCCCATTATTTCCATGGAGTCCTACTTGGCCCTATGGAGAAAGGTGGCAGTAAGAAGGAGCTGACAGAATGGCTTTTCGGGATTCTGTGAAGTACAAGCATGTGAGAGAGTAAAGCATTCCTCCCAGAACATTTCTTCTAAGAATATAGTTTCTACCACTTTGGCAGTTGAAAGGTTCATGCTTAGAAACTCAGGATACCACTGGCACAAGTACCAGTGTGCCTTGGGTGAACTAGCAGCATTGGTGAGGAGGCCCTGGCCTCAACTGGAACCCTAGTAAGTGACCACCAAAGGGGTAGAGGAGGAACAGAGAAAAATGAGAGAAATGTTTTGTGACCTCATGTGAGGGGTCATCTGGGGCTTCCAGAATACTGAGGAGATACTTGGAGGGTACTCTTAGGACAGCTGTGGCAGCAAAGATATTCTTATTGCTGCAAAATAATCCTTTCAGTCTGGTGAGGTTGGTGAAACATGTTAGCACATAGAGTACATTTTAAACAAGAGTCCAGCCTTTCATGGGGCACCTGGGTGGTTCAGTTGGTTAAGCCACTACCTTCAGTCCTGGGATCAAGCCCTGCATTGGACTCCTTGCTTAGCGGGGAGCCTGCTTTAATCCTCTCCTCCCCACTCGTGCTCTCTCTCACAATAAATTAAAAAAAAAAAAAAAAAAAAAGAGTCCAGTCTTTCCTGTACACTCTAGATACCCAACACAGTCTTACCGAAAAACAGAGTATTTTTTTTAAGCACAAAATTTAAAGTTCCTTTTAAACTTCAAAAGCAACATGGGATGCCTGGGTGGCTTGGGGTCCTAAGAGTAAGCCCCAAGTCAGGCTCTCCACTCAGCAGGGAATCTGCTTCTCTCTCTCCCCCAAAGTCGTAAGCATGCATATGCACTCTTTCTCTCTCAAATAAACAAAATCTTTTTAAAAATCCCTGCAAAGCATGGAAAGAACCTAGATGTCCATCAACAGATGAATGGATAAAGAAGATGTGGTATATATACACAATGGAATACTATGCAGCCATCAAAAGAAATGAAATCTTGCCATTTGCGACGACGTGGATGGAACTAGAGGGTATTATGCAGAGCGAAATAAGTCAATCGGAGAAAGACAACTATCATATGATCTCCCTGATATGAAGAAGTGGAGATGCAATGTGGGGGGGTTGGGGGTAGGAAAAGAAAAAGTGGAAGAAGGTGGGATTGGGAGGGAGACAAACCATAAAAGACTCAATCTCAAAAAACAGACTGAGGGTTGCTGGGGGGAGGGGGGACAGGAGAGGGTGGTGGGGATATGGACATTGGGGAGGGTATGTGCTATGATGAGTGCTGTGAAATGTGTGAACCTGGTGATTCACAGACCTGTACCCCTGGGGATAAAAATACATTATATGTTTATTTTAAAAAAATAATTAAAAAAAAAAATCCCTGCAAAGCAACAGTTGGGCTATGATCTAAATGTCCAATGGTATACATTTAAAAATAATCTGGTTAATTAAATACAATGTTATTTAATAAATGTTATAAAAAATTATAAATATTTAATGAATTTATAAGCCAGAGATGCTATTGCATTAGGAAGTATTTTATGATTGACGAACAATAAATATAGAACAAACCACAGAAGGGTTTCATTATAGTGGCTTATAGAGAAAGCTGACAAAATGAAATCCTGCTATTTTTGTCCTAAGTCATAAAATAGGAATCTACATGTGATTTCTTTCCTCAGACTCCCAGTCTCACTTTAAATTATAAACATCCCTTTGCATACTGTCTTGGGTCTCTTACCCAGCTGTGGAGACTATAATCCCAGAATCTATAATCCTGTTATCAGCACCAAACTTTCTGTGAGCACAGCATACAAACAAGTGAAATATGTAATGTTAGAAGCTTTATTCCCTAGGGAACTATAATTAGTTAAGATAAAACCTCAGTATGAATTGGTCTAAAAACCTTCTCGTGAGATCAGTTCCAGTGACAATGTTTGGACAGAAACCTGGGCTGTTAGTACCACCTTCACTATCTTTAGCTCTCTCCAGCTGGAGAGAACCATGTATGTGCCATGTTCCTAACACTGTAATAAGGCTTCCCCTTGCACACTCTTAAGTCTGACTCTCTTGTCTAATACTTTGGGTAAGGAAAAAAGTTGGGAGCCCCCTGCTGACATACCTTTACATTGTCGGCCAATATCAAATACCAAACTGAGAAAGGACCGGGTGTTTCCTTACCAGAAGTGACCTCACCCCCAACTCTCTGGTTTACTGAGTTCTATTCAAAACAAGGGAGTCCAGAGGTGAATCTGCCATGGTGAGGTTCAAAAAGGACAAAACCTCATCAAAGGCAGAAGTGCAGACTAAGGATCTGATGAATCCCAACCTCTGAAAAAACAAACAATAGGACAGCAGTGGGCATCAGGGCAAGTAAAGGCTTGTAAGGACTTCAGGAGAGAGAACTTTTACAGGATAAGATAAGGAGAAAGGGATAAGATACAAATCAGGGAAACCTGGAAAAGCAAAACTATCCTCTGAGGTTTATTTAAACTTTAACAGTGATGCAAAATCCTCAGTGAAAGACATGCAGAGATGTGGGAAGGCTATGCTGCACCAAATCTCGTCCCTATATTATCTGTAATTTCCAGACTGATTTTTCTCCTGGTACCTACTTCAGGTGATGGCCACAGAACTAAGGGAACAAGAATCCAGAGTGAAAGGAGTACTATTTCTGGACAATGGAGCAAGTAGGTGCCACAGTTAGGGTACCTTTTTTTATGCCTGAGGACACTGCTTCCCTGGCAAGAAGGAAGCCTAGAAAGTAGGTTAAGCACTCAAAGGAGACAATCGAATGCCAATGAAAACTTTGTTACCTTGAAATTTTACTCAGCTCAACGTTTACCTTCTAACAAAACAAACTTTTTTTAGAAAAAGATCTATTTATGATTTGAGAGAGTGCACCTGTGCATGCGAGAGGGCAAGAGCACATGTACCAGGGGAGGAGCTGAGGGGAAGAGAGAGAGAGAGAGAATCCCAGGCTGACTCCCCATTGAGTGTGAGACTGACAATCGGCTTGGTCCCAAAAACCCAAGATCACAACCCAAGCCAAAAACAAAAGTTAGATGCTCAACTGACTCAGTTACCCAGGCACCCCCTGAATAAACAAAACTTCTGATATCAAGATCCCGAAACAAACTGCCTTCCCACTGTGACCCAAGTAATACTAGCAACATTGGAGCCTGACCCAATTCCTAAAAGAAAGGCCTTTCCACTAGACAAAAGTAGGGAGCAGCATTCTAATAAGTATGGAAAAAGAAACAAAGCACAATGTTTTAGAGTAAATATGGCAAGAAAACTTAAGTACCAATGAATATCCATACATCCACATAAGTACATCATATACAACTGAGCCCACTGATCATTCCCACCAGGCACATTAACAAAAATGGTTTTCTTGTGTACCTATTTTGACTATAGAAAATCATGAAACCAGACATAAAGCAATTTATACAAACTAATGCCCCTGTGCTGCCTTTCACCTTGCTGTGCTAGAAAAACCTTACGACATGTGAGGGGCTATGAAAATAAAGCTTTTAGCATATCTGTGGGCAGAGTCATTCATTCAAGAAATATTCACTGGGCACCTGATGCTGTCTGAGTTACAGAGTATGGCAGTTAGCAATAAATGAAGTGAAGGGTCAAAGAGTTGTCATGAAAACCATACATAGCACAATAGAAATAACATTAAAGACAAGCTCAGCAAGCACTTAATCAAGCCTAGTTCTTTTATTATGTGGCAAAGACAGTTCGTAAGAAATGGTATCAGATGAACCTGAGTATACAGTTTCCACCAATAACAGCTACACGAATATGGTGAATACATATAAACAGAAGGAATTATCTGGAATTCCACATTTCAGATCTTAAAAAACTGAAACTAGCCATAATTTCTTTAATGTCAAAACCTAATCTCACAATCCATTTGTAGGAAGAAGATACGATCTGACCTGATGTGAATCCCTATTTATTCCACTTAATATAAGAATGTTTCATAATTGGAATATTAACACTTGTCTGAAAGTTATATATCCTAACTTAACTGTCTAAAATCTGAAAAAGCTAGAATTCTAAAACAGATCTGGGGGCACCTGCGTAGTTCAGTTGGTTAAACATCTGCCTTTGGCTCAGGTCATGATCCCAGGATCCTGCCAACATTCAGAAAGCCTACTTCTCCCTA